CCAAAAAAAGACATGAAAGCAGGGATGCAACAGACACTTGTGCCCCAGTGTTCACTGTAGCACTATTCACAACAGCCAAAAGGTAGAAACCATCTAAATGTCCATCAACAGGAGACTGGATAAACAAATTGTGTGATATACATAAAACGGACTATTATTCAGCCTTAAAGAGAAACAACGTTCTGATACATGCTAGGGCACAGATGAACATTGAAAATATGCTGAGTGAAATAGGTCAGTCACAAAAGAACAAGTATTGCAGGATCTCATTTATATGAAATATCTAGAATAGGCTAATATATGGAAACCAAGGTTTATTATTGGTAACCAGGGATGTGATGCAGGGAAAAGGAGACTCGCTGCTTAAGAGGCACTGAGTTTCGGTAAAGGGTGATGAAAAAATTTGGAAATGGACATTGGTGATGGTTGCATGACATGTTAAACATAATGTCACTGCATTATATACATCAAAGATGTTGAAATGGCATGTTTTCTTATATATTTCTTTTTACCACAATTAATAAAAAAATGGTTGACATGGTTGACAGAGAGATTTAGGGCAGTAGGCTGCTCATTACTCTGATGTGACCCACTAAACCCAGCTTTTGATTATTGCATCGGTGAGTTTATAACTTGGAGAGGACTGGTTAGTTCATTTCGGTGAATTCAAGTTACCCACATGATCTGATTCTTTAGTTTCCTAACAGTTCTTTTACTCCAGTTGATAACCTTTAAGTTATATAAATGCCTCTCACCTTCTAACTCTAAAGACCCTTGAACTTATTGGGATTCCCAGAACTATAATTTTAACTTTTTCAGAGCTGATGAATCTTTCATTCTTAGAGCAAATCACTCTTAACATACTTAGAAAAAACCAAAACCAAACCCATTGCCATTGAGCCAATCTGACTCATAGCAATCCCCACTGGGGTTTCCAAGGCTGTAAATCTTTACCAAAGTTGGTTGCCTCATCTTCCTCCAGTGGAGTGGCTGGTGGGTTTGAACTGCTGACCATCTGGTTAGCAGCCAAATGCCTTACCCATTGTGCCACAAGAGCTCCTTTAAAAATACTTACATATGCATTTAAAAAAAAAACCACACAAACAAAAAAAAGCCAATTGCTATTGGGTTGACTCTGGCTCATGGTGACTTCATGCGTCAGGGTGGAGCTGGGCTCTAGACGGTTTTGATTTTTCTGAGGTGACTCTGGGTGGATTCGAGTTTCCAATCACTGGGTTGGCAGCAGAGCATGTTGACCATTTGTATGTGTGTGGCATATGTGTGTGTGTGTATACCAACCCACTGCCATTACGTCTATTCCAACTCATGATAACCCCAACCTGTAATATGCAGACGACACAGCTTTGCTTGCTGAAAGTGAGGATGACTTGAAGCACTTACTGATGAAAATTAAAGACTATAGCCTGCAGTATGGATTACACCTCAACATAAAGAAAACGAAAATCCTCACAACTGGACCACTAAGCAGCATCACGATAAATGGAGAAAAGATTGAAGTTGTCAAAGATTTCATATTACTTGGTT